ACTTCCCCGACAAAATGCCGTTAAAGAAGGCTTCCACGACGGTGCCCTCTGCCCAGGATAGCACAAAAATACAAACTAAAATACAAACATTACAACTAACGGGCACTCGTAAAGCTCTGATAATTTTATTGAATACTTTATCAAATCAATCAATCTTGACGCGCAGTGCAGACCTACACTTGTAGCAATCGCTCACCGCCAATACTTCAACCTGGCCTACTTTAACGACAGCCAAGGTACAAATTTACCTAATTGTTGTCCTCCTCTCACGCACCAACAAAATAAATAAATAAACCAATTGTTCCAAACGCAATTGATTTTCCCCTTAATCCGCATGCGTCTTCCCAAAAAAACACGTTCAAATCAATGAACGATCAAAAGCACTTTCCGAATCAGACGCACCTAAACGAAACGGTCTCAATACATTCAAACGCATAAATTATTATATATATTTATATATATATTTTTTTATATATATTTACCGACGTCGTTTTGGATCAATCCCGGACGAGCCCCCAATTCTGTTACGTTCTGCCTGTGCCTGGCCATGCAACAGAGAGGGAAGACCACGCGGATGAGTTGATTGAAAGAAAATACCGTTTATTAAGGACAACGAATGAGCAACGTAAAGTAAATAAAGTCAGTATAAGTGTTAGTCAGGAGAACTGAAAGCGTATGCAATCAGGGTATATGAAAAGTCATGTAAAAGGAAACAAAATCAGCAAAACGGTGCGGGAGAGAAGGAGAAGCGGCAGACCTCCTTCCACCAGGTCTCCCGAGCTTTTAAACCCCTCAGGATACATAAAGCCATCCCAGGTGTTCCTGGAAGGAATCATAGGAAACCCGTCACACCTGTGCTCCGCTCACCTGTAGGGGAGATGCAAATAGACAAAACGAGGAGGAGGAGCCGGCAGGTCCGTAACACAGGTATTGCCAGTTTCCTGTTGGGTGGCCAGTGTGTTGCTGGACCCACAGTGTGGGGAAATCCCCATTTCTTTGCATGCTTCTATGTTGATTTTTCATGTGTACCGGTTGCATATTTTACTACTTTGCATGGCAGGATCGGGATGAGAGGCGCTGATCCAAGCAGAGAATGAATGAATGACTAAATATAGAGCTAAGTCAAAGCTGTATTCAACCCGAAAATATTTTTGGTCCACTTATTTTTATTTTGAATACAATGTTGTATTTATTCAACAAAACGTAGACTTTCAGGTTCACATTTATTTTTCAAATGAACAAAGCTTTTGACCTGGATTTGGCTCCATACTATTTCCTCCCAAATGGGTTATATCTGGAGGGGCCTTTATTTGAGTTCTTGTGGGCGCGACCGTTAGTTGTCATTTCAGTTTTTTAGCTCGGTGGCGATCGCCAAAAAAAGACCGGAAACGCCGCAAATGATAGGTTTCGGGCAATGCAATCTTTCGCAATTGCTTTAGGACAATTTTTATCTAAAGAGGACAATTCAAGTGGATGTCATGAGCAATGTGAATCAATGAGTTTGTGCGAGATCTTGCAAGGAGACCTGAGATGTTCTCATACAACGCACAAATGAATGTTGATCTCCTCGCTGATCATCAAGCAACTTCTGGTGCAGGCCAACACAAGTGATGTTTACAATGCTGTTTCTCTTTTGCGTAACAACAGCCACAAGGGACTATTTCCTCAAGGCTACAGAAATAAATGTGATGCACAACTCTTGTATGAGGGGGAGCGTGGCATATGGTGTAGAGTGGGTGCCCTGGGAACGTGTCCCTGACGATGAGGACACGCTGGAAAGCAGCGCTGAGGGATGACAATCTCAACAACGGTTTCACGGTGGAAATTATTGTGACTATTTGGGTCTGTGACAGAGCAGAGGGTATTAATTCTTGAGCATGACTCACAGGGGACAAACACACTCAACAGGTTGGACGGGTCACACACCCTGTGGCTCTTAAGTTCCCTTGTTTCCTATTGAGCGGTCTCAACGTATCTGTTAGTATTAATACGAGGACACAGAAAAATGTATTCCTCCTATGAAGACGTCTCTAAGGAACACTCAAGAGAATCCCCCCAGAGACACGACGCAGAGCGGCCATCGAGTAAAGACGCAACATTCATAGCGCTGCTTTTTAAAGGTGTGTGTGTGTGTGTGTGTGTGTGTGTGTGTGTGTGTGTGTGTTTAAAGTGTATGTTAGGGTGTCACCACAGCAATCAGAGGGGGAGGAGATGCCTCCTGTACAGCTCCACACTCAGACAAAAACTATCCACATGGCCGTGAGCTACCTGGGACCACATTTTCATTAGAAATTGATTAATTATGAGCGACGTGAAGACGATTTGTCCTCTGGCCGTTGGGGGGGCCCGAGGGTGCGGATCAGGTGGGACCCTGCTCCCAAGGTAAGAACTTTAAATCCTACACCTCTTCACACCACAGCGGACCAGCACAGACCACTTCAGTTCACTTTAGTGAGAGCTGTGGTTCAGGTTGGACAGTCTCTAAATCTATGTATGAGATGTATTGAACTCTATTGTGTTCAATACATCATACATACATTGTGATATACAAAATAAATACTTTGGTACCAGTGATCCAAAAACTCGCTCAAACTGTCTGTACTGCATGTGACAGCCTTAAGACCAAGTCGTTCAGCGACGCAGTACCGTCACCTGCTGTTTATATCGTTTTATATTGATTTGTGCCCCCGTTTTGCAGCGCTGTTGTGATGATTTTAATGGTCTGGCCCACTTTTGATCAAAGTGGGCAGTATCTGGCCCAAACCTGAAATTAGCTTGACATTAGTTTGTCGTAGAGGTTTGGATCCATAAACTTAGAATTCCAAAGGAATCATTATCCTGAAGATGCTTTTTCTTTAAGACAAATCTGACCATGAGCCACCTGGGACCATAAAGCAATTAGAAATTCCAGCCTCCAGTCGGAGGGGTGGGGGGGCAAGTTGATCTTCAGCTTTTGCCTGGAGTTTCTCCACCAAAGTTCTCCTCTCAAACGGCTCTTGGAGGAGAAACTTTACAGAGTTGGTTGCTGTTGGTTTTTTGTGTTGCTAGCGCTTTTACTTTTTACAAATCACCATTATATCGTTCTGCAAAATTAGCATAGAGGTTATTTCAGATGAACCGCTGACCACACAGAGGTAAAGCTCCTCCTCCTCTCTAATGAGCGATGCCATCAAACCCCCCAAAGCAGCAAAATACAAAAAAAATCCCCTTTGTGCTTTGTGTGATGAAGCAGGTGGTCTACAGACCCGATAAAAGACACTCCCTATAACAGCAGACTTGAACTAGAGAATGGTAATTTTCTCTGGTGTCACAGCAATCCAGAGTTTGTCCGTACATCCTTGAGACTCTACATACTGTTTGCCACCAGTTTTAACTCAGACCTCTCTTTCCCAGATCCCTGGTTGAAAGTCTTTGTCGTCACAAGAAGCCTCAGTTTCTCTCCTTGTTCCTGTCTCTGCTTATTCTGGCGCTGCTGGTCTTGTGTAGCATGCTGTCCAGCAGCACTCTGTCACACTGGGATGGCTTTCCCCTCCACAAGTACTACCACCGGTTTCCCAACCAAACCAATCGGTTCAAGCCACCTCCTCCGTATAGTTTCCATCCTAAACACAAAGTCAAACCAACAGGCACAAGTAAAACCACGCAAGACTCCACTGCACTGACCACCGTCAGTCAGTCCTACCTGCGCAACTACCACTTCATCATGGACAACCAAGAGGTGTGCCAGACCGAGACTCCTTTCCTGGTCTTGATGGTTCCGGTTGCACCAAAAAACCTGGCTGCTCGGGACGCCATCCGGCAGACGTGGGGCAAAGAGAGCATGGTTAAGGGCCAGGCGGTGCTGACACTGTTCATGCTGGGCCTCTCCGGAGGAGCAGATGTCCAGGAGGAGCTGCGGCAAGAGAACCTGCAGCACCGCGACTTGCTGCAAAGCAACTTTGCAGACACATACCTCAACCTGACCCTCAAAACTATGGTGATCATGGACTGGCTGGCCACTCGCTGCCCAACGGCCGCATACGCCATGAAGGTCGACTCCGATATGTTCTTGAACGTTGACAACTTGGTGGTCATGCTACAGAAGCCGGGCATCCCTAAAGTGGACTACCTGACTGGGATGCTCATGTGGAACAGGCCGGTTATCCGGTCAAAGGACTCCAAGTGGTACGTCCCTCTGGAGATGTACCCAGATCCTGTGTACCCAACCTACGCTCTGGGCATGGGTTATGTCTTCTCCAACGACCTTCCGAAGAAATTTGTGGAGGTCTCAAAATCCATCAGACCCTTCAACATAGAGGATGCTTATATTGGACTGTGCATGAAGAAGCTTGGACTTGCGCTGACATCGCCGCCAGATCCCCCCCAGTTCAGGGCCTACAACCAGAGATACGACCGATGTGAGTACTCAAAGATCATCACCTACATTTTGGGGTCTTCACAAGAGCTGGTGAACTACTGGACGGACTTGAAGAAGCCTGGACCACCTTGTTAGGACAATGACTAGGAACTGGGTGGTTAGCACTGGTCTGTAATTCTCAGGCCATCATGTTAATTTAAATGAGGCTTCAGATCACTGTGGTGGAAAAGTTGATGGTTTCCACAACTCTAGCGTAGAAATGGTGATGGAAAGATGTTTATCGTGGACTTATAACTTTTTTTTTTGGAATGCAAATAAAATTTAAAATTAATAAAAATAATTGTTCCCCTCATAATAAACTACCCGGGTCCTAAGGCTCTCCATTTACTGCTTCTCATCAACATCCATAGGTATTGTGAACATCACTGTAACAAACTACACATATAACAAACATTTATAACAAAGACCACAACTACTGACTATGTGGAGACCCGCCCCCTGTAGCTGGAGGAGAGTGGAGGGAGAATAGAAAATGTAAAAAATATAATGCATACATAAATCTGATATCCTACAATTGAAATAATGAATGTAGGAATTTATCACTAAAGTGTAAATGACGTGCTTTAGTAAATGTATTCTATTCTCAGCATAAATACTTATTAATGAATTAATTATAAAGTATAGAATCTATATATTAGTTTTATTTCGCTATGCTGGCATGGTCTTTGTTCTCGATTTGTTCGTTAACTATATTTGTGTTGTGAAACCTTATTTCCCAGAATGCATTTCACGCCAGGAACAGACAACAATGGCAGAGGGAAGTAAACACAACAAATTATATGAAATACTGTGATTAGATCACGGAATGTAGCTTGAGGCTGACGGGAAGGTTAACAACAGCAGTTAGTGGCCTTTCCTCTTGACTGAACTGGTCATCACATGCGAGACTCTCTTGTCTTCAAAGGAGTGCTGTTGTTTTTATTCTAGGTCAACTCTGGACTTCAGGAAGTTCTAAGAAGCTTCCAGTCCTTTCACATCATGTAAATATACATACCTTTCATTTAATTTAGTCAACCAAAAGATAAAGTAAAACATTGATTGTGCTGCCTGGTGGTAGAACTGTTTTAACGTTATTTCGAGTCACTACTTCTACACTTCATGTTCCAGAGAGGCTGCATGAGGCGTTTGTTTCCTCCTGAACGCGGACTCTGGCTCAGTGGTTGGCGTCGTGGCGTGAGACAATGCTGGCCCGTTCCCCTGCGAATCATTCACCTGTAGACCTGGCCAGACCTGACACTTTTATCAGCTGTATGGCGGGTGGGGCTTGGCTCTGTGAGCTGAGGGTGTGAAAGGAACACCAAGACCACCTGTCCACTATGTGCTTTCCCCCCCTCTTCCCGTAGCAAGCTCCATTTATGGGAAGTCTACTTACTTTGTTGTGCTGCAGTGACTTGGTGTTGACTTATGATGTGACACCGCTGTGTGTAAACCGTTGTGACGCGCAGAGGGGGGGCACGCTGTCAGTGGCACCTTAAAAAACTGGGCAGCATTTAGGGAGCTCTAATGGCAGTAAGGGGATATAATATTAAATTACATACATTACATATTTTATTGTGTCTTTAGTGTATAATTGTCAGAGATAGACTTATTCTGACTTGGAAAGAGTGACTCGAGATCATCTGCCATGTTCCCACGTAGCCCAGAAAGGACAGTTTCAGGGAGGGGCATCAGGGTCTTAGAAATCTAAACAAAGATCAAATAGTAGGCTGGATTGTGCACATCAAATAGTTTATAGCACAATCACAAACAAACAAAACTACATGACAGGTTTGGTGTGGTGGCACTGCCCGGTTTTAAGAAACCCGTTCAACAAGTTCTACTTGCTGGAGAAGATGATAGCCGAGCCCGGGTACTCCCCGTATCCCCTGGGCATGGCCTATGTCACGTCCCTGGATCTGCCTGCCTTTCCTCACATCAAACCTATCTTCATTGAGGGCGCCTACTTCAGGATGTGCCTGAAGCACCAGGGGCCTCATTTATAAAACCTTGCGTAGGATTTGCGCCAGAAGTGGCGTATGGATGAAACGTAGGACGTGCGTACGCACAGAAATATTCAGACTTATAAAACTGTGCGCACGCACGTCCTACGCAGTTTTCCCTTAATAAATCACAATCACTTCTAAATGCAGCGCAGCTTTTGCGGCTTCATGTCACGCCCATAGTTGCCCATATATAGTCTGTGGAACGCCCACAAATTAATATTCATCGATTGCGAAATCATGACAAACACTGAGAGGAAAACGAAGAAACTCACTCAGTGAGTGTGAACTCAGTGTGAAGTCGAAATGATCATTGGGAGGTGGAAAGGATCAGGGTCGGGGCCAACACAGCCATCGGCGTCAGGGAGGTCGAGGCACGTTTGGAAGCTGTGCCACGTTATGTAGCACAGCACATGCCAGCGCGATTTTGCACACCTTTTCAGGAGTAAACAACAAGCTCCCTCCAGTGCAGTCGTGGCAGCAACATCTGCCCTTAAACAAGCCGATGGTGAGCTGCACTACAGCGCGAATCCTTCCATGTGCCACATCTTCTAAGAGCGCAAGATCAGCCATTTTGCGTCATTACACATTGTGACGGCATCATGGCATTTTATTACCGTCCGTCTGATTGCATCTGACAAGCAACAGCTGTGTTTTGAGGATGAATTGCATAACATGCCAATAATATTACAGAACGTATTTCACTGTTCTTTTTGAAAATGTGTTAATTTGTATTTCTGTTTGTTTTATGCTGCAGATCGATCAAACGGGTGTTTGTGTTATTTATGAGAGGCAGTATTGGCATTTCTTTTACAACAGTCTAGTTTTACACACTTTCATAGACGTTTGCGTGTTTCTTACATTTGCCGACGGTTCTCATTTCACCCGTTTTTGTGTGTACGCATGGGTCCGAGCTTGCGTGGACCGCACATTTTTCCGTCAAGTTTGCTTTTTATAAATACCAATTATTGCGTACGCCTTCTTTTGTGCGTACGCAACGTTTATGAATGAGGCCCCTGGGCATCTCCCCCACTGACCCTCCTGAGAACACATGTTTATTGTGGACCCCAAACATCCTCTGAGCAGCTGCAGCCTTTCTAAAGTCATCGCCGTGACAACGATAAGCATCCCACAGATGAGCTACTGGGAGCCAGACTCTCAATGTTGAACCTTTCTGATGGTTTACCAGGACAGATATCAGATTGTTGGTGGGGGTGGTGGGAGGGGGCAGATTGGACTGTTCGGATCACAATGGTGAACCTGACTTGCGCGCAAAAAGGAAGCAAGTGGTTTAATAACAAGATATTTCAGAAATCAAACAACTTCATCTGGAAAAGCAGCATTTGTCTGCCGTCATGGAATTACAACCATGGAATATGCTCATCTTCTTCCCCATTGAGGCCCTTTGACATGTTTTTATTTGAGGGATTACCGTGTCATTCATTGTTAATGCAAGTATTCGAGGCTATGCTCGTCTTCCTCTCATCTTCGATAAAAGGCTTTCCTCCCTGGAGGGGACACTCCTCGTAAAGTAAGAATAAAGAGCTGATAACGTGTGCTGAAAGAGCTGCACATACACGTTTTCATTCGTGCCCTAAAACGTGGTTTGGTTTTAAAACTAAATCCCTAAAAATGATGCCAGATTTGTTGTGTAGAATCTAAAGATCTTTGTGATCTTTTGTTAGAATGTGTCAAATGTTTTGTCTTTGAATGGATTAGTGATAATCAAAAGCTCTTTCATAGTGCTCATTTTGGGAGTCACTGTCTTGAGGAGTGCAAGGCCAGAGGAAAAGCAGAAAGTGTCAACCAGGCAGACACAGGTCTGATAAGGATGACATTTAGAGACACACCAAACACCATACAAAACTCACGCTTTGTTCATTATGTTCACATATGTTAGAAGACCACACATTGCATGTGATTGGATCTTCTGTTGTGGCGAGAGGACCTGCTCTTCCTCGACGCCAGTTTAGGGCCAATAGAAATCTTTTCATTTATATCTAACAAGAAATACAAAATGTGATGCTTTTCCTTATGTTAGTAAGTTGTTCTTCCGGCCTGCAGCCGACAGAACTGCTCCTGCCTTTGCAAACACAGCGCTTATAATTGACCTGTGGTCTGACAAATAAATCTACCAGAACGAGAGAAGTCGTTTGGCTGAATCCTTCCAGATGTCCCCAACCGGGCATCCAATTTTGTTTGCGCTCTTTCGTTAGTGTGGCCAATTTATGTGATTCTCCATTAGAAGTGGCTTTGTCAGCTCTGTCCCATCCCCGCCTGTCTGTCTGCAAGCCAATCTTCCGTACCAGTGTCTGTATTTGTAAAACGCCGTCCTCCCGCACTCTAATCAATGCTTTGGTTTAGGGAATTCCAGTGTTAACTGGTGACCCTAAATGCCTCCTGGTTGCTCGTAGTGACGGCAGATGTTAATAATAGCAGAAACATGGAAACTTTCTTATGAAATTCTGCTGAACAGGATGGTAATCTGTTGAAGGTTATTCATTAAACATATCCACACAGAGCCAGACTTGCTGGTGATTTGCGGCTAACAGAAGAGGGACTCGTACTGCCTCATTAACACATGGTAGCGATGATAATAAAAGCTGCCTGAAGCTTCAGTGGCGGTGAGTCTGCTCCACGGAGCCACAGGGGAACCGGTCCGGCTGGATTCTGTTGTGGTAGACTTCGAGCCAAGTCAGAGGAAATGTTTGAATAGGTTCTTACTTTGCCGTTGACAAGTCTGCAAATCAGGTTTTCACAAACCTTTTTAGAAACCCGACACTTGATGATACTCACGGCTTCTTCCTCCTGAAGAAACTGCTTGGATTACAGGAGATGGGGGGGGCAGTCAATGGGGCTCAGAGCATTCAGGCTTTTATTTGAAAAGCAGTTTGTCTTTTGGTTTAGTCAGACTCTGGTTTATACTTATATTTTACTTACTTAAACTTTATATACTTATACTCATAAACTCTTTTCAAAAGTATTACGGCATAAAGAACAGTTCAACAAAGTTCTTCTTAAAAGGTCACCAAAACCACCAGGATCCATCCTCTGGAGAGCCTGAGTGACTGCTACGATAATATATCACCTATTCAGTTTGCTGTTGATTAAAGAGGTCATCAAATACCCACAATGCCTCCCGTCAATTCAGATATTAGATTTCCCTCCACGAGAAAATCTCATCTCAGTGTTTTCTTGTAAAAGTTTTATCTTCTTGCACCTCTGTACCTACATCACTCAGATTGTCAGGAACGGGTAGGTGGAGGCAGGACTCAAACGCAGACTTGGAAACAAAAAGGAAGTTTAATAGTCAAACAAGTTGAAAAAAATGGAAACCGCAGAAGGGACCCGGGAACAGTGTTAATTTTGGCAGCTATTTTTGATTTAGTCTTAGTCTTTGTCTTAGACAAAAAATGCATATTAGTTTTAGTCACATTTAGTCATTTTAATCCTTCTTAGTTTTAGTCTAGTTTTAGTCGCCGAAAACTAGACTAAAATGTAATTTAGTTTTACTCTAGTTTTAGTCACATTAAATAGCCATATTAAACCTTTTCTTCCCTTCTCAGGCCCAGGGACCCCCTATAATAAATTGTCACAATTTTTCAGGATGGACTTGAATGCCTGATTGGTGTTACAAGAAGACATTGTCAGCACTTGTTATATTTATCTTTCATCTACTTGCAAATAGGTCAAATATAGACTTGATAATTAGTCTACACGTTGTGGATTAGCCTGCCTGCCTGTTCGGAATGTGTAATATTTGTGTGCGTGCACTGACATTTAATTGACCAGTGAGTTTCTTTTGGTCGGCGCTGTATGCGTCCATCTTTATTAGTGCATATTTACTTCTGCGCATAAACGCGCACCTCGATGACCTCATCACAACATGACAGACATTTGAACCGGAAGTATCCAAGATACTACAAAATGGATTACCGCCGGTAATTAGCAATGGATATCAGGCGATATTTGAAGAGACCATCGAGTGCTCCCACTCCCACAGATGCCCGCAAAAGGCCTCAAGTACAAAGTAAGACTGAAGAAGATCAATTCACGTTTTTAAACGTTGTTTTGGTTCTCATAACATCGCATTAAGACAGGGACAAACTCTATTAATAACGTGCTTTCAAATACGATGATGCAGGTAACAAGCCAGCCTTCCCGGTCCCATCTAAATAGGCCTAATAAAATGAGTAATTATCCTCACGCATATTGCTGCAGATTAGGCTAATTCATTGGAAAATTGTCGACCAGATTATGTGCAAGCCAGTTAGACATAGCTAAGAGAAATGCTAAGTGAAATGTTTTAGTTTAGCTATAGAATCTTCAAATTTTGCGGTCAAAGTCAAATATATTAGCTTTTTTACTTTCATGATGACGGGACGCTGTGCCTCAAGAAAGATCCATCACATTATGTGAAGTCCTGGCTGGTGAAGCACAGAGGAGCCATGAACCCCAGAACGCAACCCTGCAAGGCAGGACCTGACGTGGAGGACAAGGAGGCCCTCTGGGCACTACTTCGCATCGCGTTGCATCGCGTCGAGGTCTGTATGATCACAAAATTCAGAGTGTACCCACCTCTAATTTTACCACTACAGCACTGTGGACAGTAAAGCAGGTGACAAAATACCAAGGACTGTAACACCTGACAAACAATAGTGTTAAATAAACACTACACCCACAATATTGCCACAATTTTTCAAGATGGACTCAAATGCCTGATTGGTGTTACAAGAAGACATTGTCAGCACTTGTTACAGCACAATTTCACCCACAGAGTTGAAATTGTAATTGGTAGACATCACAAGGCTGCCAATTCTTATTTTTTTCTTCATTGTATTTAATATAGTACAGATTCGAAGTATGTATTTCTATTTTTTTTAAATCCCATCAACCATTCAATATTGTACAGTGTTCCCCTGGGGGCGTACGGATGTCGAACATCAAACACAGATTTTAAAGCTGAAGTAGTCAATCAGTGAGTCAGTGCAATCATTAAAACAAGAAACCAAATCCTTTTCTCCGTGTTTCTTTCTGCACTCAAATCAGAA